CTGTATCACAAGCTTTGTTTTTGTTTAGTAAAGCATAAAAGGGAAGAATACAGTTGTTCTTTTGTGTGCTTAAGACTAGAAAAACTGCAAGAACCGTTTCTTGTTTTTAAATAGGAGGTAGGAGTGTAACAATAGATATTCATGCATATTGTAAACTTTAGTCAGTTTGGTTCAGTGCACGCATGTATCAAATAATAATAACACCTGAACATAGGCAGAACGTTTATCTGGAACACCAAGTCCTCAAAGCTAGATTGTATTGCAACTTTAAAAGTGACACCAGAAAAAACAGAATTGAATTACTCTCCTGAAACAACATCAGGGTGAATGGAAACACTGATACTGAAGAATAATCAGTGAAAGTCCAAATCCAACTGCCTACATTAATCAACCAGTCCAGAACACTGGGTAGAATACAGCTGTGCTTTTATGATTCATTAAGTACATCTGATTGCTAAATGTTTGTACGGTCTTATTAAAAAAGATTAATAATAAAAAAGCTTAATTCCAGTTTGATCTAAAATGGCAACTTTTTGTTTCTGTTGATTGAAACATACTGAACTGTGACTTTGAAACTGAAGTATGTAGCAAGCTCTTTTCTTGATAGAGGGTTTCCTGTTTCATGACTGTGACAGTAGATCAAAAATAAAGTTGATTGTTTTGTGTTCATTTTAAGCCAGATGTTCTGTATTCATTTTTACCCATTTGATTAAAAAAAAAATTCCCACATGAAAGACCTTGTGGCTTATTAAGTCATAGCTCTGATAAATGTCAAATGTGCCACAGTGCATGGGACAATTTTCCTTGTTTTGCATGAGTGGCATTTAGTTGATTATCTGGTCTTGAAATATTAACCTGACCTGTGATTGAAGAACACATTTAGCTCCGCCATGTGCATTCAATGAGGTTTTCTGCACTATGCAGAAGCCATGTGTGTCCTGTTGATGGGCGCATGTTTGTTGTGCTCCATGCTGACGCATGGCGGGGGTGTTCAAGTGTCATTCACATTGAGGCGCCAGCCAAGTCCAGGAAACAGGACATGTGACACTCGCATACACGCGGAGTTGGTGGAACTTTCACTTTAATATATCAAGTAACCAAGGAGACCAGACCTGCTCAATATTTGATCCTCTGCCACTCGAGCTGTGTCTGTGTGTGTGTGTGTGCGTGCGTGTGTGCGTGAGCTCTTGAGCTGCTATTACATTGCCTTTACTATGCAGGTTATGACCCAGGTCCAGCTGGTTTGTCAGTCCACTGAAAAGTTGCTGACTGCTACGCTAACTCACATTTATTATTACCATCTTAAGGATGGCATAGGTATTGAATGTTGCACTCATTACAGGAGATGTCATGTGAAACTAAAAAAAAAAAAAAAACACTAGCTGTGTGCTACTGGATTGAGGTAACATTTGTTGGTGTGTAAGCTCTTTCTAAAGGAAAGGGTCATAGATGAGGCTTAAATGGATCCACTACTTGAACATATTGGCCTAAATATATTGTAATTTTCCTAATAACCGAAAAAGTTGTCGTTTGTGAAACATAAAATGCATAATTATAAATAGTAAAAATGTTAATTCTTATTGTATTTTTAACTGGAATCGTTATTTATTTTTACCTGTGGATGGCATGCCAGGTACATTGTAGTGAACTCAAGCCTTTAAAAAAACAATGTGAGACATCAAGGTGATGGAGACGGCCTACAAAACGTTTAGATTACGGCAAAATGCCTCAAAGTTTTTATGTGGCATTATACATGTGTAGTGTATTGTTTTTACTTCTGAAATAAATGTTTCTCCAATGAATATCTTTTGTTATAACTAATTATGGATCTCTTTTAAAACTCAGTTGTAAGAAGGGTTGGCAAATATTCTCATGGCTTGTTTATTTTTCACAATAAACTTGTGTTCAAAATGTCTGTTTGGTCATGATAAAAATTAGGAGACTACACACAGCCTATTTTTTTATTTAGTATTAGTTTTAAAAGCACTGAAAAATTCAAATAACCCAACAAAAACTGGAAAAAAAGAACTAGATTTTTCTGTAAAATATAATTAAAACACAACTTCTGGTGAGGAACAAATTTGAACACTCCCACGCATTTTAAATGGTTGAAAATACACACAAGTTTGTACTCAAATTTAGTTTTTTTTTCTCCTCCTTGATGAAGTGAGACCAAGGTCATGAAAGAACTGTTTGGGGCCTTTAGAGAGACGATTGTATCAGTTTAGTCTTGTGATTTAAAGAGGACTAAAATAATAATAAATCAACCATTCAGCTATGTGAAAAATAGTCAACAAGAAGAGAAACAACTGCCAACATGGCCAAGGCTGAATGTCCAAGCAAGTTCACTCTGAAAGCAGACCACAAGTGGGGAATGGTTAGATTGCTGGGAAAACATTCTGTTGGACAATCAAAATCTCAGTTTCCTCAAAGGCGGTTGTGTTTGGGCATTCTGCAGGAAACCTATCCTGATTACATTACATAGTGCTGCAAACAACATTTTGACTCTGACTTTCAACATATATAATCTTCCGATGGTGTAATGAGAGGTTAGACCATCCATCCCAACAGCCATCACCAGAGAGAGTCACTGGGTCACCAAAGTCATTGAGTTTCTAAAGCCACTGGGAGCTGTTTTAAAGAATAATGCTGCACCCTGGTCGAATTCCTCACAGTCTGTCGAAACACTCTGAAAAATGCAGGACTCTGAGGGTGAATAATGAGGGAGAGCGGGTAAGAAGGAGCATGCAGCCATGAGGAAGGGTGGTGTATGGATTGTTCCTTTAACTTACTAATAAAATGGTGAAGGAATAATTGATTTCAAGTTTAACCACATTAATTTAGCTTTTAGAGCAACTTCTGGAAATTTTTTTTGCATCATGGTGTTGAGCTCAAACTGCAGCATTACCCAGTCCAACAGTTGGCAGGAGTTACAGTGAAAACAAATTAATGCCTTGATGAAGTGCAGTTTGGGCCACAGATCAGAGGGACTGCAGTTTCCCAATGTGGCGCTGAGGTTACTGTAAATCACTTACCTCATTGCTGATGATGGGCTTTACTGCAGCTGCTACCATAAAGAGTAGAGTTTTATTAATCCCATGATTAATTTTTATGTGTTTGGATTGTGATATCAGCACATGCTTTATACAGAGCAGCTCCTCGTCGTAAAACTGAGACTTATTTGTCAAAGGCCATAAAAGAACTTAGCTGTTACTTTGTTGCTAACTTTTTAAAGTCTAGTTTCAACCTTGTTTTATCTGTTGTATGCCTCATTTCGTAACCTTTCCCTGCTAATCTGATTTGTTGTGTTAAATCTTTGTTTCATCTTCCTGATCCCAGTAATCTTAATCTCACTTTGGGTCTTTTTACAACCTCTCTGACCTCTCCTTCACTTTTTGTTTGCACTTACCACTCAGCTCTCTTCACTTCCGTCTTGGATGACAATCCATCAGTTTTTCTTATCCCTCGTCTTAGGCTGTGTGCAAACGGAAGCATAAGGGTTACTGTGCGCCTTCCGCTCCATCCATTTGAGCCTCATGTTTTGAGTTATTACTCTCTAATCCTCAGTGAGACCAGAGCCTGTCCACAACTCACTTTCCCCCCATACCTTACTGATTTGTTTCCAAGCTGGGCTGAAAGGTGCAAACTTTTTACCCTTTTCATTTATTTTGTCATATTTGTGATGCCAGAGGGGGACGTAGTCTGAGTCTCTTATTTGAAGTCCTCATACATTAGATTTACAAGTAATAGGTTTGATGTATTTTGCATCAATACTAACTGTGTTGTGACGATCTGATATTGTGATGAACTGGAGCACAGCCAGCCTCTAGAGGGTGATCAAAACAGCTTTCACATTTATTCATGTATTTGTTCAGGTATTCACAAAAATAACATTGATTGCATGATTTTTCTAATACTTCAGTATTTGTATAAGTGCTCCAGTTACTTGCAAAATCATTCATACATCTGGAACTTGCATTAAACCAAAAATATGAATGTTTTGTTAATTTGTTTTATGATGGGCCAACACATTTCCAATTTGGAATATGTGGCAAGACTTAAACATTTCTTTTCATATTCTTTCTATTTAATCTAACCACGCTTGTGCAATTTTCCACCAAAGCACTTACTGGTGTATTTGCTGTGAAGCACAATTCCAAGAATATTGACTTAGAAGTGCTGAATACCAAAGCATGCCACATTTACAGGTTTTTGTCAATAAAAAGGGAATGCATGTCCCTTTCTTTCAACCTCACAATTATGCATCACAAGGACACCAATGATAACATTATCTCTTGCCCCTGTTCTCCCCACATTGCCCCATCACTCTTTTCTGTTACCTTGTTCATTTGTTAAACTGCTGCATGTGAACAGGGCCTACATCCATCACAAAGTAATGACATTATGTACTTAACTTTTTTTCCTGCAGTGATAAAATGAAAAATGGAGTCTTGGAAAGAGGAAAAAATGCACATACCCAAGCTGTGCATTGTGAAACAATTTCATATGGCCTGTTTGTTCTCCAGGGTCAGGCTACCCGTATGTTCTGGAGGCCCCAGCCCAGGATTTTATCTCTGGTAAACAAACAACAAAATGTATTACCCCAGGCAGCCTTCATCAACTAAAATCAAACCCTCAATTTCACCTCTCCATTACTGCAGCTGCAGTTCTACTTCGTCAATAATATGTACTAAATGGTCATTATGCGTTTCTGCACTGCTGTAATGCTTTCAGTTTCCAGTGCTTTGTGACGTCTTAATCCCCCCCACCATTAATAACAGAAAAAGCTCTGCAGACTCAAACTCCAGTGATTGTCTCAGTGCAGTAAAGTTTCAAAACAGCTTTGTGAAACACACAACATTATACACTTACAACTTCTGGCTTCTTATTAATAAACAACCAACGGAAAAATACCCCAGTGTGCTTAACATTGCTCTTTTGCTGTGTCAGTAAAGACTAACTCCACCAGCCTGGCCTTATTACTGCTCGCCTCCAGCCTAATGTGTAGTCGGAAACAATGTCTTGATATAGATGTGTGTGTATGTGCGTGTGTGCATGTGTGTGTGCATTTGTTTGTAATACCTTGTGGGGACCATTATCCTGACACATATTATGTTGTGGTGACCCACTGCTCCTTGTGGGGACTGAAGCCTGGTCCCCACAAGGGGAAACACTGTTTTTGGGTCAGGGGTTAGATTTAGGACTAAGGTGTGAATTGAGTTTTGCATAGGGTTAGGGATGTAATGGATAGGGATAGGGATGTAATGGTTAGGGTTAGGATAAGGGTAAGGTTTAGGCTGTAGAAATGAATGGAATCATATGCACACAAACATGTGTGCATATGATTGTCTGTATAAGAAAGGGGAACTGAATACTTCTGGTTAGGCTTTGCAGTAAACTAAGAGTCAATGGCTTGTCTCTGCAGCCTTTGTGAAATTGGTCGTTCTCCATAAATTATATATTTTTTTTTACATTTTGTTTCGTTATAGCCACAAACCTCAGTGTATTTTATTGGAATTTAAATGTCAGATTAACACAAAGTAGTACATTTTTATGAAGATGAAGATGTCTAAAACTTCAGGTGTGCCTTTGTTTTCAGCCTAACTGACTCTGTACTTTGCTAAATCAGCTTTCTAGAGAAAACCAGTGGAAGGTTTTCTGGAGTATGTCTCAATCAGCTTTGCAGGTCTTGAGGCAAATTTTCGCTTATACTTCTTTTTAAAAAAAAAATAAAATAACTTGACCAGAGTCAGATTGAATTGGGGCATCTGTGCACATCAGTTTTCAAATTTTATTCAGATTCTCAATTAGGTTTTAAAGTGGATCTAATAGAGGTCCAGTTTTTTTTTAATTCAGCATTGTAGACCTGAATGTAAGTTTTGGACCATTGTCTTGCTGGTGGGTGAATCTCTGGGGTTTGTGGTTTTACCTTCCCAATGTTTGAGCAATGATCTGCATGTCCAGCATTTGTGTGTTTTCTTTTTTCCCTCCTTGTATTAGTTTTGTTTAGATCATCGTATATGTGGTGCAGTTTGTAAATTCAAATGTGTTTTTATTTTATTCTTTTATGTATGAGCAAAGAGAACATGGTGAATACATAGGCTCTGCATTTTTCTGTCACTTTTGAAAGATGGTGCAGATAGTGGGTGTGCCGTAGCTTTGCTCTGAGGCTTGGTACGGTAGGTTGTAAAAGTGTAAATCAGCACACTTCAATGTCTGCAGTGGGCTGCAGAACAAAGTGCTGAATCTGCAATAGAGAGTGTGTGTGTTTGTGATGAGAAGGTGGGGCAAGAAAAGGACAAACTATAGCGAAATAGAAAGCTGGAAAAATGAATGCATGCAAAGCTGTAATGAAAGCATGATTTGAAATGGAAAGAGGTGTAAAAGTTAACACAGGAAATGGAAGTAAAGAGATGAGTGGAGGAGTTGATTTCAGAAGTCTGGAGAGGAGATTGATGAAATGAATGGCGATGAAATGAGGGGCAGAAGAGAGAGAATGAAAAAAGAATTGGGGAGAGTCTGTAATCCATCCTGTGAGTTTTGGTTTGAAGTGCAGGAAATGAAACAACTTCTTCATTTTTGATCTCGCTGAAAGTGTCATACTCACAAGAGGGAGATTAGCAATTGTTTAATTATTCAAGCTACTCTTACACAAATCTGCCCACATTTACATAGTTAAAAAATCTCAAGTACTCCATGGAGTTTCCTTCTGACATCAGGAAGGAAAGATGTCAGTTTTCCAATTGTTGGAATACTGTTTTAATACAATTTCTAAATGACTGAGTCATTTAGTCCTTAGTGTAAAATAGCAACCATACATGGAGAAACATGTTGGAGCATCACCTATCTGCACTCCATCAAGATTAGCTGCGAATCCATCTGTTGCACGCTCAAATAAACTACAAAAAACCCAAGAGCTCCATCTCAGACTCAACGACCCTTGATGAATGTGATGAATGTGAAAGATTATGGGAAGACTGATCATATATGGCTTGTTGGCTAGATTTCTGGGAGACAAGTTGACAGATTATAGATTTTAATGTATTGGTCCAAGATGCATTTTTTCACACTAAGAACACAGACTTGTATTGATGCCACCGGACCAGGGCTGAGCCAGCATGAACTCTTCTGTAAATCAGTTTACTCTTCTCTAAGTTTCTATCTTGTACAAGACAATGAACTCCAATTACAGTAAATGGCAAATAGCTTGCATTTGTACAGCACTTTACTGAAGAGTGCTCTACGTTCACATTCTGTTTGCAGCAGCAAGAGTGAGTTTGTTTCAGTGATTCATCTTCTAATCATAACAACTTGAAAACTGTAAATTAAAATAACTGCAAACATGCAATAAAATTAATTGGCAACTGCATATAGTTG